GTAGACATGTTCCGTGTAGACATGTTCCGTGTAGACATGTTCCGTGTTGACATGTTCCATGTAGACATTTTCCATGTAGACATTTTCCATGTAGACATGTTTCATGTAGACCTGTTTCATGTAGACCTGTTTCACGTAGACCTGTTCCATGTAGACCTATTCATGTAGACATGTTCCATATACACACGTTCCACGTAGACATGTTCCATGTAGACTTATGTTCCATTTAGATGCATGTTCCATGTAGACGCATGTTCCATGTAGACATGCTCCATGTAGACATGCTCCATGTAGACCTGTTCCATGAAGACATGTTTTATGTAGACATGTTCCATGTAGACATGTTTCATCTACAGACATGTTCCATGTAGACATGTTCCATGTAGACCTGTTCCATGTAGACATGTTCCATGTAGACATGCTCCATGTAGACCTGTTCCATGTAGACACATGTTCCATGTAGACCTGTTCCATCTAGACATGTTTTATGTAGACATGTTACATGTAGACATGTTTTATGTAGACATGTTCCATGTAGACATGTTTTATGTAGACATTTTCCATGTAGACATGTTCCATCTACACACGTTCCATATAGACCTGTTCCATGTAGACCTGTTCCATGTAGACATGTTCCATGTAGACCTGTTTCATGTAGACCTGTTTCATGTAGACATGTTCCATGTAGACATGTTCCATGTAGACATGTTCCACGTAGACATGTTCCACGTAGACCTGTTCCACGTAGACCTGTTCCACGTAGACCTGTTACATGTAGACATGTTCCATGTAGGCCTGTTACATGTAGACATGTTCCATGTAGACATGTTCCATGTAGACCTGTTACATGTAGACCTGCTCCATGTAGACATGTTTTATGTAGACCTGTTCCATGTAGACATGTTCCGTGTAGACATGTTTCATGTAGACATGTTTCATGTAGACCTGTTCCATGTAGACCTGTTCCATGTAGACCTGTTACATGTAGACATGTTCTATGTAGACCTGTTTCATGTAGACCTGTTCCACGTAGACATGTTCCATGTAGACATGTTCCATCTACACACCTGTTCCGTGTAGACATGTTCCGTGTAGACCTGTTTCATGTAGACCTGTTTCATGTAGACCTGTTCCATGTAGACCTGTTCCATGTAGACATGTTCCATGTAGACATATATTCTATGTAGATCTGTTCCATCTAGACATGTTTTATGTAGACCTTTTTCATGTAGATATGTTCATTTAGACATGTTCCTTGTAGACATGTTACATGTAGACATGTTCTATGTAGACATGCTCCAAGTAGACATGTTCCATGTAAACATGTTCCATGTAGACATGTTCCGTGTAGACTTGTTCTATCTAGACATG